GACATGAGCTGGAGCTAGAGCTATAGCAGATGCTTCTGGAACATGAATTTGTAGTTGACTTGACTGCCCTTCCAGTATCATCCCTGACAGATGTACTGTTATTTCTTTGCCCAACTTTTTATAAACTTTCTACTTAATAATTGATTTAATAGCACCTCGTCTCTGATCATGAGGCGTGCACGAGCCTCTACATAAGTGTGTAACAAGAGCACATGGTGAGCTTGATAAGATCACGCTGGGTTTGGTCAGTGTGTTCTTTATGATATTTTTCTAACTCTTCCATCAGACTGGGTTCTCCTGTCTTAGGGAGTGATGTCTCTGAAAGACACCGTGATCCTGCCAGGCCATCGCTGGGTTTGTGTTGTTTGCCAGGTAGTGGCGCTGACATTCACATACCAGCTAAGGAATGGGACCATGGTGGAGCTGGGTCAGGGAAGGACCTTTGTGTCTGCTCTGCCTGAATAAAACTGAGGCAAGCTCACCCCAGACCTTTCCCAGCCCCCGTAGCCCAGTACAGCTCAGCCTAAGCATGTTTGGGGGAGACGTGTTTGTGTGGAATTTTAAAATTCCACAGGTAGCCAGGTCTCCCTGAATTTCTCACTCCCTTTCTTTTGCTCAGGTAGAAGAGCTGCTTCTTTCCCTCATGATATCTCCTCATCCCTTGCAGCTGGTTGTTCATGCAGAAACAGATGTTACCCTGGTACTCCCTGGAACCTTACTCCTGAACAAAAGAGCTGTCTTCTAGGAGTAAAGAAGCTACGGGTCACTCTGCAATATAAACTGTAGAACCAAACTTGAAAATAGAATTCATATTTTATCCCTGAAGAACTCAAGGCTCAGACAAGTTAAGCAAGTTTCTCAGGCCACACAGATGATTTGATCATTCACTTATATGCTCACTAGGATAAAATGTTAAGCAAAGACTGAAACACCCTTGTCCTTCTGGAGCTTAAAATCTAGTATGGAAGTCAGCAAACTTCTTCTGTAAAGTAAAGTACCAGAAAGCAAATATGTTCCATCATGTGACCCATGGAGTCTGTGTCTCAACAACTTAATTCTATGGTTGTAAGTATGAAAATACCAATAGACAATACATACATGAGTGGGGTGGCCGTGTTCCAATGAAAGCTAGTTTATTAAAAAAAAAAATGGTGATGGGCTGGATTTGCCTTGTAGCCTGGATTTGCGTTGGCCTGGATTCTTTTAACCTCTGGATTGGTAGAAAGGGGACTTGATGAAATAATTGATTTGTTAAATGTAGAGTTATTGGAGCAAAAGAATTATATACAACCATCAGTACATAAAATAGGAGTTGAGGGCCACTGAAGGTGCTCATGAACTGTGTCATTTTATGTGAAGTCTAAGGATGAGATTGTTGGCCTGGCCCCTGGGGCGCGCTGAGACTGCAATTGAAACTGGGTGTGGTGGCACACACCTTGTAATCCCAGCTCTTGGAAGCCTGTAAACAGGCAGAATGCTACGAGTTCAACCCAGTTGAACACCCTGTAGACCCTTACCTAAAAATATAAAAAGAGAAGAAAAAATGAGGGTGAGAGGACATCATTTAGGCAAAAAGGGCATCATGGGAAGGAAGAAAGAAGTGTTCCAAGCTGACAAATTAACTCATGCAAAGGTCTTGAGATGAAAGGGACCATGTTTTTTGGTTTTTTTTCCAAGTACCAAAATGTCGTTTGACAGGTGGTGGGAAGCAAAAGGAAGAGCGGAAGCTGGCTCACTGGTTGAGTTGCTTAGGATCGCAGTCTTGATGCTAAACGCTAAGGGCCCGTTGTTTTGATGATGTCATTGGACTTCTTTTATGAAGCCCTCACTCTGGTTTCTAGACAGGACATCCCACCACCCCACCGTCAGCCACCATAGTAACAAGGAAATACTCCTTTGCTGTACCCAGAGCCTATCCCTGGAGCTTGAGCTGATGCACAGCTCAGCAGCACCCTCTTCGCCAGGAACTCATTTCATGTTTCCTGCACCAACACATCTTCCCTTTCCTCTACTTCTAAGTGAAGTTTCAGATTGTGTTATGTGTTTACAGCCCCAGCTCCTTCCCATTCCATTTCTCTCACCTTTCTTCTTTCCTTCCCCAGTCTGATATCCCACAAACTTCCTAAAACTTGCAAGTTTAATTTTTCAAAGATTGATTCTGACAAAGCAGTGGGAATTAGATTTGGTGGAGCCCTTCATAAAAAATTGAAGGCACGCTATATTAACATACATTGATTTATTCATAGTGTTTCATTACAAGTGAGTGAGGATCCTGTAATACCAGGAAAGGTTAGGAGAGCAGAGGAGCACGGTATGTTATATTGACAGCTCCATGGAAATTGAGTCGCTTTTGGATTGAACTTGGAGCACAGGGAAGGAGCTGGCTAGTAAATAAGGCATGAGTTTTATCTCCCAGTGTCTGTATATCAATGCAGTTGCCACCAGCCCATGCAGGAGGGCTGGGACAGAATTTTGAGAGAATGCACAGGTGCACTGGTGTGCAGAGGATGGTGACCATAGGCACAACTCTAAACATCTCCCCTTTTCGGTCACTAAGGAATCCAGGAGCCAGTGAGACAGCTGCCCCTCCTGCTGTCCATTCTGCATGCATCTTGGGCTCTTCTGTTTAAGACTTTTCCCACCTCAGGCCTTTGCCCTTGCAATTCTTTCTACTTGGAACAAAGAAGCTTTTTGTTCTGCTCTGCCCCTACCATTCTGCAGGCACTGGTTCCACTGCCTCCTGAGATGATTGAAGCCAAGCCACTAACCACCGGCATGGTAGATGCCCATGCTCAGTCTATGCTTGCAAAAATCCTAGAGTTATCAGCTCTCTCTGCTTCTCTTCCTGGTCTCACTTTGCTCCCAGCCACATCTGGCCTCTCTGATTAAACACATGAGATCAGTGGCTATACCACTGCTCCTTAATACAGCAGAGAGAAAACTCCCCTTTCTCCAGCACATTTGATTCCATTGGCAGAAATAGGAAGTTGCTTATTTTGAAAGGGAAGTTTGTATATTCCCTGTCTGCCTGAATTTGGTCATACTGTAAGTAGGGGCATTCATGATGGAAGATAAAATGCTGTGAGCTGTATGTTTAGTTGTGTTTCCTATTTCCAAAACCACTAGAAAGCAGGGCCTTAACCATGTAAGGCTTCCTAGTGGCCCACAGTGCAGAGTCTGGGATCCAGGTATACTTAGGAAATGTTTGTGAACAGTCAGAGGAGTGAATGGGTGAGTAAATGTGTTCTTTAACTCTTGGACATGTCTGCAGGCCAAGCCAGGCAATGTGGCATAGAATAATGAACACAGGTTTGGAGTTGAGTCCAGTGACAGAAACCAATTATTGAATAGTAAGTGTGAGAATGCATGGCTTATAGCTACAGTGATGACACGAATCTCACAAACATGTGTAAAAGAAGTCAGACACAAAAGTGTATGTGCTATGGGATTGTATTTATATAAAGTACAAAACCATGCAGAGCTAACTCATTCTCTTAGAAGTCAGACAGAGGTGGAATCTGACTTGCTGGGATCCAAGAAGCAGATTGAATTAAAAGAAGGTATGCGATGAAAGGTTTATATCTGTGTTGTTTCTTGATTGTATGACTCTCTAGTTTGCAAAAACTTACTTATCTGTATACTAATACCTGTGAACTAAGCAACTGCACTGAAGATAGCAATGTGTAATGGTAGGGTCATGCTTGGAATACCTGTCATTCTGGTCTTCTAAATATGTGCTGTTTGTCATGACATACCAATTACTGCCATACTGTCTCTCAAGTAAATGTTTGTTTAAAAAAAAGGTAATAAAACAAGAGACATGAAAAAATGTCACAGGACTTCCCTGCTACAATACTTATCTGTGTATTACACTGTGGGCATTATACTTTAATAAAATATTTTAATGAAAGAAAGTAGATGGAATAAGAGAAAAAAAAAACTTTGTGTATGCCGCCTAACAACAGTGTAATTTAGACACATGTACTCCAAGTGAGACCAGCATCATGCCATAAGCTGTTGATTGGTTTTGTGGTACTATAAGTTGAGAAATTGAGTGAACACTTCAAAACATCTATACCTTGACATTTTTATGATACCCTCCTGAGTGGTGAGTGAATAGTAGGCAGCAAATATTGCACAGTGTAGACCAGTTTCTTTTGTGCAGTATAGACCACTTTGATTAGTACCAAACTCACAGGATAAGTCACATGGGGAAGATCTTATTATTGAATTGTAGTGACTTGTTGGAAAATAAAAAGCAAAATGTAGATGGGTTAAAAAGTGCTGATTTAATACAAGCTATTTCCAGTTGAGTTTCAGTTTTGCTAGTGTTAAAATGAGAATGACTGCCCTGATTCCCCCCAAGGATAGGGAGAGTTCCAACAACACGAGGCATTATAGAACAACAGAATGCAGTGCTGCTCGTGTAAAAATTAGGACACATGATCTGTACTTTCACAAAGACCCTTAAATAATTCTTATCATGCCATTATACTTCAATGTTGTTCTAAAGCTGTGCTAACCAATGAACTGGCCACTAGCCACACAAGACTATTGCGCTTTTGAAATGTAGCTAGTCCCTGTAAGAGTAAAACCCAGGCAGATCTCTAAGATGTAATATGAACCATAAAATGTCAGCTGTCTCATCAGGATTTTTATACCGATCACAGGTTGAGTTGATAGTATGATGAATATACTGGGCTCAACAACGTATATGACGAAATTAATTTCACTTTCCTACCACCTTAATGTGACAATTTTAAATGACTGATGTGACTTGCATCCTATTTCTGTCGAGCAGGGCACCCTAGAATGTCATCAGTGGATCTGCAGAGGCTGGGGCGATCTGACAGGTGGACAATAGCAGGAGACACTAAGGAACTCACTGGCCTACCTTTTGCACATGTCCTCTTCTGTCCTACCCTGACATCCTCTCGGCTGGCCGAGCTCCATCCGGCCCCTGAGTAGCACATTTACATGTTCGTTGCTTTGTGTTACAGATCAACTACAAAGCTGTTGGCTCCCTGGACCCAAGTGCCGATCTTTCTAGCCAGAGAGGGAAAGTGTTCAAGCTCCGGAATGAAACTCACCACCTGTTTGTGGGTCTGTACCCAGGAACCACCTATTCTTTCACTATCAAGGCCAGCACAGCCAAGGGCTTTGGACCTCCAGTCACCACTCGGATTGCTACTAAAATTTCAGGTATCTCCTTATTTCTCTGTTTGCAGCTTTTACTTCTATTTGCACCTATTTGCATGACGTATGAGTACTTGCCTTGTTGGGAGTTGGTACATACATATAATACTAAAGGAGAAAAGGAGGAAAAGTTGTCCTTCTCTACCCAGACCAAGTTTTTCTGAGAGAGAGAAAAAGGCAAAGCCAATTGTCTCTGTGTGGCGTTGGAACAATTAGGATGACCCAGTCCCTTGTGGGTTACTGCTGTGATCCCATGAAGAAACCAATCAATGAACTTTCTAAAGTGTAAAAAATATATTAATTAGGTGGCAGTTCACCAATTAACTTACCACAGGGCAGCATTTAATAGCGTGCCTATATCTGCATTTATCTATCTATATCTATCTAAAGAGTAAGAACATACAAATTGGTTTGTAATTGTACTTTCAGAAGTATTCTTTGTGCCAGTGTGAGACAGGGCAGATTCTCATGAACTTTTTTGATGCACGAATGAGTGAATGGCAGTGACCAAGTGACAATGATTCAAGATTGCAGGTGCCATTACTAGTAGGGTTCCCTTCTTCCCAACTAAGACAGCATCAGCACAGAGTTATCCCAGAATGTTGTATTGCACCTTTCATTTTTAGAATAACTCTGCAATTCTGGTCTAAGTAATACATATTTTCCATGTGGTTTTGCAAAAATCATGATACTTTCTGTAGCTTTAATGTTTCCACTTACCCTTATCCCATAAGTATTTCCCATGTTGCTGCATCACTTTCATTATGAGGTTCTGTCAAGTGGATGGACGTAATTTAATTAAACATTCCCCTGTGGTTGGATATATTTGGCGCTTCCATGTTTTCATAAAATAACGTTTCAATAAACATCTTACAAAATAAAAGTTTAATTTGTTGGTTTGGATTGTAACTTTTGGGTTAAATTCAGAAATTGTAAAGCTGAATTAAAAGAGATGTGGATTTTAATGGCTCTTAATACAAATAGCTAAATTGCACTATCAAAGGATTAGACTTAGTCTCACTCCTGTGGTGGGCAGAGGGTCTCATGGATTAAAAAAAAAAGGAGGGGGAACTAATTTTTTATTGCTTTATTTGCATTTAAATGTGTTTAACAAGGTAGATGCTGCTTTCCCATTTCACATTGTGAATTCGTCTTACATTTCTTACATGAACAGTGGATGTGTGTGGGTTCCTGGCCACCTTGCTGTCACCCTTCTCCAGACTGCTGCACCTCACAAGGTGGAAGTCAGTGCCTCCTGTGCTGAAAGCCTCTGTTGTCCTGCCTTGGCTCCCATCCCTTTGGAGTCATCTGGAATGTCCTTAAATGTGGAGGTGGCAGGCAAGACTGGGCACTGGTGCTGAGCTCGCCTCCCATCTCTGTTCCCTGTCTAGCTCCTTCGATGCCTGAATATGACACAGACACCCCACTGAACGAAACGGACACAACCATCACCGTGATGCTGAAACCCGCCCAGTCTCGGGGAGCCCCTGTCAGGTGAGGAGTTCACAGCTTCCCTTTCTCTGTACCGTGCATACCACTAGGGGAATCGTGCAACTGGCAATGTAGGTGGGCTCCATCAGGATTAGGGACAAAAACTTCCTGGAAGGAGCAAGTCAGCAGTCCCAAGCCCAGTTTGGTGGAGGTATCTAAGCCAAGTTCCTCTCCCCCCTACAGTGGAGTCTCCAGAAGAATCACGCTGATAAGCATATGACATGGTCAAGGAGAGAGCCTTCTGGAACACAATCCTAGTACATTTAGTTAGTGGACTTGGAAACTTGAACACAGAGCCCTGGCAAAATTGTCTTATTGTCAGTAACATCAGGCAGAGTTACTCGCTGAGACGTTATAAATGGGAAGAGATAGGAGTGGGAAGGGAACTTGTCCAGCCTAGGGCTATAGAGTGTGAGAATCCCACAGGTCCCTTGCTGGAAAGGTCACCTGCTGATTTTAACAAGAGGCTATTGGAAATCAGAAGCATATGGTTGCCAGAGGCAGCCGAAGCATCACAGTAGCTAAGCTGATCACTGTATGTCCATGGCTATCAAGAGAGTGGAAATCTCTCTTAAATGAGCAACACTTGGCACAAAGGCAGCAATGTTAACTGCTGCTTTTGCACAGAACACCAGGAAACAAGACCCAGGTCATAAAAATGAAGCGGAATGTGTAATGGAATAGCTTTCTGGACCCTATGCCTGATACATAAAGTATTCAATACACACTTGTTGCATTATGGTGTGACACAAGGCTCAAAAATGGTTGATTGAATACAAATATTATTAGGTATCCTCTCTATTTTAGTCAGTTTAAGTACTTAGTAGAAAGTCATGAACTAGCCACAAGTAAGTTAAGTCTTTTTTTTTTCCTGATGCTGAGGATTGAACTCAGGACCTTGCACTTGCCAGGCAAGCACTTAAGCTGCTGAGCTATATCCTTATGCTGAAGGAAGTTGAATTCTAAATTGGGAAAGAGAAGTAAGAAAACATAATTTCAGTATAGTGCATTCTTAATAGGGACATACAGAGTTATTATGGGAGCTTAGAGAACAGGATTCTCCACAGAGGGGACACAGAGCTGCATCTTCAGTGTTGTGTAAAGTTTCACCTAAGTTGCAGGTGCCCAGGACAGGCAGAGGCATGAAGGCCAGAGCCTGTGCTTGGTTAAGTTCACCTTAGACAGAGATCAAGTAGAGTGGTGAGATAAGAACAGGAATAGGTTGGAGAAGTTCCTGCTCATCTAAGGATCATGGACAGCCCTGGAGAGTTGCTTCCAGTGACATCACTCTTGGTGACTGGGGGTCTGGTATGCCAGCCTAAGAGAAAGCTCTGAGATGGGCTTCAGCTCCTTTTTCTACTCTGCATCCAGCTCTACCTGAATGTGATAGGTATGGAAGCAGATAGACTCAGTCACCAAAACTGTAGAAGTCTGGAAACTTTGGATAATAATTCTTCCCATTCAAATGAAACTTCAGGTGCTGAAACAGGTTTGAATAATATTACAGTAGAGCTTTGCTCCCCTGTTTTGCATAGTGGTTGTTCTAGGTTTGTTCTACTTGTGATAAGCAAAGTTAAATGGTAGCTCTAGAGTCAAATCAGGTTATTAGTTCCCTGGTTTTCTTCTGTTATTTAATTTTCTCTATATACCGTGAGCTGTTATCTCAGATTGAAAAAAAAAAAAAACCCTCAGGTGCAGAGATGTGTAAGGGATACAGACAATAAATAGGAATTAGGAAAGCTGAGTTGGAGTGCCATACCTCTGGATATCCTGTTGCTGTTCCATTTTGGCCAACAAAGCCTTACTCCCTTTAACAAATTTATCTTCCTTTATACAGCAACATCAGTCACTATTGGAAAAATTTGACTTTCCCAGAGGACAAGTATAGGCCAGAGAGAGAAGCAGCTTGGCCAGATAACACAGCAAGGCAGCAGCTGACCCAGAGCCCAGCCCAGCTGACCACAAGTCAGATGTTTCTGCTGCAGATTCGATTATTCAAGCCTATAAATCTATGGGCAAGGGACCTGGTCTGTTGGGCATCCTACTATATGGTCTCCTAGTAAATATACTTTTAGTCCAGTTCTTCCCCACTTTTCTGAAAGAATGGGTTTGATGGCAATAAAACCAGATTAAATCCTGTTCTCACACTGCAGCCTTGACATTGGGCAAGATGCTTAATCTCAATCTCTATCTCTTCCCTTCCTCCATGTTCCCTCTCCCTTTCACTCTCCCCTTCTATTTCTTTGTTCTCCTAATCTCTAAAGCATGGGTAGCATTTCACAACCTGAATGAACAGAGGAGTGCTAGATGCTCAGGCCAGCTGATTCCAGACACCAGAGACCAAGATCTCCAACCCTCCCCCAAGTACAGGGACCCTCTGCACACCCCAAACAAAAATGCATGAGAGATTTTTCTAGTCACCACTAACAGAAAGCCTTACATTTTCTGAGGCCACCATGTTCTTACTTTGCATGTCAGTTTAACCTGCTCACGCATACTTAGACTACAGTAAATTATGAAGAGAGAGAAGAGGATGGAAATGACTCTGCAGCAATGAGGAATTGAGACTGGCAGGTAGCAAAGGAGCAGAGCAGACATGGGTACTCAAAAATCAAGGAGGCCTGGGTCATAGACCCTCATAGCTATGGGTATTTATTCCTTGATAATGTTTTACAAAACAAAAATGTGTCTTTAACTTAAAACAGTGACACTGTACATAACACTGTCTGCATCTTCACAGCAATTTGGTTAAGGCCCCTTCTTTCGCAGATGTGAAAATTTAGATGAACTGAAGTCAAGTGCATTGACCCATGCCATGACTCAAGAGCAATAGGTGAGATTCAAACCCAGTTTTGACTCTAACCCTATACTCATTACCATACCAGGCCACTTCCATAGTAGAAAAGTATGCATGACATATTTTGGTGACATTTTCATCCAAAAAATTAAAATAAAAGAAATGTCACTGCTCAAAGGGGATATGGTTGGTGTCTGGAAATGTCTGGCTGCTTTTCATCCCAAGGCTCTGGATCACTGAGGGTGGGCGTGTGCTCTATTTCTGGAATTATTTTTCAGAGATTGCTTGGGAATTTTCCAAGAAGGAGAAGAGACTACCCAATGCCATTCAGCAAGACTTTCAGGACAGCCACAATTACAGAGTGGCAACACCACAGAGTAGATTTTAGTTACCTTTGCAATTTTTCACCTTGAACTTTGGGTGCTGGAGTGTGCGTATGGGAGGTAGTTGCCAATAAAGTTGTCCAGTGAATATTTATGGAGCACTCATTATGGACCAAGAAGTGAGCAAAGCATCAGGGACAAGCAGCGAGCAAGGTGGATTTATCACTGCCTTCTTGGGACTTCTTAACTACTGTGTGCCTGTGAACAGGCAAGGAGGTATGACAGTAAGCAAATAAGCAAACAAAATAATGAAATCAGCAAAATAAATGAATTGACACTGGGCAGCAGGGA